ATAAATGTTATGATAAATCATAATAATAATCTCCTAAATCATAATTGTACTTTAATTGTACTTTAATTGGTATTGCTCTATTAAATTAATTTTACAGTAATATTCAAGACATTTAGAATTCAATATTTTGAAAGAATTTTTACAAAATATTTAAAAAAATATATATATTAGATAACATTATTCAAGTATTTATAAAACATTATATAGTGTTTAAACAAAATAAATATTAATGATAAAAAAATCAATATTTTAAAATGTGTTTTAAACTAATGTTTTTTGAGCGCAAATAAATGTTTGCTGAATAAGAGAAACTCAAAGCATAATTTTTTATTTTTCGGTCGTTAAAAATATAGATTGTATAAGATTAGAGTTTTTTGGAACATTCATACCTTGAGAGCTCTTTTTTCCATCAAAATCGCCAAAAAATGAATTAATTAATCTCTCTTTCATACGTCTGGGCAAATCTACTTCGGGACATTCTTGTTCATTCTTCATCTTATCACTGTCAAAAACCACAATTTGTAACGAGAAATTCATTTCCCTTCCGAAATTGAGTTTATATGAGAACGAAGACGACGACTTTCCCATTGTTGAATTGTCATATATAGATTAATGATAATAAGCGCTTATAAATAATAACCAAGGGATAGAGAAAATATTGATTTTCTGGCGATGTGTATCTACGCGATCGGTGAATTAACTCTCGAAACGGATTAACAACAAATCTTCTATGCCAGCTGCAAAAAGCCTTTGATCGCATCAAACTAAGCTCTCTAGAAATTAATATGTCAACCGGAGCCACTACCACTACTCGTCGCAGTTACAGAACACAGTTGCAATCATAGAATTGCCCGTAATAAACTCTCACTGTAAATCAAATTATTCGCGGCTTGCTGTGTATTCGTTAGTAGCCATCCGCTTTCGATCATTGATGTAAAAATTGATGTGTAATTGGATGAAGATGAATTTAAAAATAAAGAGTTAAAAGTTAATTATAGATCGGCGAAGAACGTAACTCGATCGAACGATTTTGCAAAGGGATTAAGGCACGCTCGGAGATTGAACTTGTCGATACGAACGCCATTGAGTTATTCCCGCGAAGATTCATGAATGTTTACTTCAGTCGCATCGTATAAGTTTGTACTTGCGCTAGGTAAATCCGTTCGTTTGTCTTTCTCCCGTCGGTGTAAATCATTAGATTTACGGCTGCCGACATTACATATATACCTTCTACGGAGTCGCGCTTGTGAGTTTACTACGTCTGACCCGACACGGATGTATATTACTGAGACACAAATGCGTAATAAGCTTAGACTCGACACTCGGAAATTGACGGATCACAATCGATCGATCTTCATATGCGCATGTGGCTTTTCAAAATCACCTTATACATGATATCTAAAGGCATATTATATCTTATCATATTAACTAACGCGGTTGACCCGCGCACGTGGCAACCATTATGATGACGTAAGGTGGATTTTCTTCGCAAAGGATGACGCGTTGTCAAAAACCGTATTGCTCGCTACAAATATTATACATTTTGCATCATTTAGTACCGTCAAAACGGAAGATTATTGCGACCGACAAGAAGTGTAATTGTGTGTAATGCGCGTGTACGTACGTGTGTTATGCATGGCTAATTCGTATTTAAAGCTTTATTGGATCCGTGTCCCGCACAACAATTTCACGGTTTACAGGAACCATTCTACAGTCAGGACACCGCTACCACCAACACCATTCGCCGCCGGTTACCATCCACCTATATCGTATGGTCGTGCATGCTCAAGCTCCTCGAGTACGTACAAGGTACGAGTACCAGCGGTGGCAGTCACTTAGATAAGTACTTTGCTCAGGTATCTTCTGTATAATGAATGAACAGGAACTCTCCTCTGGACTATACGGTGGATATACTTGAATAATTATGTTTCCTTCTCTCGCTTCTCCTGGGAGAAGTAATTTTTATATATTCTTTTTGAAGTTATACATGTTAGATTTATTTATTAAATATTATAATTCAAATTAAAATATATTTTTTTTATTAATTAATGTTTATTACGTTAATTAAATTTATTTATTTATAAATTTTGCTATAATAATTTCTATGTTGCAGTTCGAAAATATAGAGTGGTTTAATATAATAATAAAGTAATAGGGAAAAAGATAGTTCGTAAATGTATCATAATTTTCCGAAAATGTCTTTCTCAATCATATCGTCGCATCCGATCTTCCTCTCTTCGCTTCTCCCTTTCCCTTCGTAAGAAGATCAGCACGATATTTTATCATCTGGCAAGTATTTTTTTTCTCTCTGTCACTGCTAATTCACACCAATCTACGACATGTTAGATCGGTTAAACCCCCAGTCGACGGAACTCTCCTCTCTACTTGGCTGTGAGCTTTATCCGCCTCCCCACCGTCGCTGAATGCAATTTTAATCCCGAATTCCAAGAAAATTACCTTGCCGTCAGAGCTGTTTAAGGGGGTGCTAGATGAGATTGCCTCTGTTACCTGTCAGCCCACTTGACATATACTATATTATGCAGCTAGCTGTTCGAACTAGTTTTGAGATTATTCTCTAATTTAAATTTCTATTTTCCTTTTGCACCGTTGCTCCCAAGTCAGGGCATCTGTGTTTTGATAGAGAGCAAATGAATTTGCGAGTCGTGGCTTCGAGAATTTCAATATCCGCGTTTTCACAAATAAATAGACGCGATCGGAAGAGTCGTTTGTATTTTTCAGCTCAAGCCAATGTAAATTTTTAATTGTAATTTTGCGCTCGCTAAACTTTTGCCTTTTGTACAATGCAACAAAGCCCTTACGGCAGTTATTAGTTACACGAGTTATAATTGGCGGAAACTGTAGAATGTATTGAATATGGTGAATATATACATATAACATTCGCCATTTGCGTGATATGAAAAAACAAATCTACCTGTAACGCGTTGAAAATTACGCCCTTCGGGAACAGGCGGCGCATCCATCTGAATGAAGGAAGAATAATAAGGTAATGGGGCCAATAACACATTGGACGACGGAATTTTATTTATTCAACAATATCACTGACTAATGGCTTATAAAATAATGACGTCGTCCAATGTAATTATGTGGAAGGTAACTTGTATGCGTGACATGATAAATTGAAAATGCTCAATAACTGGATACAACGATTAATAATAATAGTAACAATAACGACTTTATTGCCACATACATAAATAAATGGACATGGCCGATGTACAGCGTACAAGCTGGATCGCGATTCGATCCGGTTGCGTGAAACTACCGTCTCATTCTCTCACTCACTCACACTCTCTTTCTCCCTTTTTCTCTTTCTCTTTCTAACTTTCTCTCGCTTTTTCCGGCGGCACGCGCAGCCCGATGCAGCCGTCGCCCTACTTACAACAACGGTTCTACTTTATATTGGAGCACGGGTTAAACAGACATCGCGTTAGAAGTAAGCGATTTCGCGAGGAATAATCTCCCTGAAAGGGTCCCGCGTGACACCCAGCGCTGAGCGAGAGCGGAAACTCGTAGTGGGAGGGAGAGTTGCTACGAACGATTTGCCTACAAGTGGTTTCGCTGCGCGAGACGTATACTCGGTACACAGGGTATAAAGTATCGAACGAAAGAGACTGACAAAGGTGCTACGAAGAGATGGGAACAAAAGGGAAATCGAGGGGTCGTCGATTTACCGGGCGCCGTCTAACAGCGATCGCGCGTTTCGCTTCGACGCACGACGTTCCGAATTCCCATCTTTAATAGCGCCGTTTAACATCGTGTAGCGTTACATTTCATGACACAAGATCGTCTGCTTTTTTCATGTCTTTTTCATATCTTTTGTATTTTTCAAGACTGCGCGCGTAAAGAAATTTTAATTTCTCTCTTGTCAAATATAAACCTTTCAGTCGCCAAAAGTGAGATGAGAGTCCGGTACGAGATGCGCATCGCAGAGGTGGTGTCGGTGACACAGTGCTACGTACACATAGTTAATATAGGATCTATTCACGGAATTTTTCCGGCCGACGGATCCTCGATGGACAATTCAAGGGCTTCCGGACGAGCGACGCCCTGCCGGGAGAAATATACAATTTCGAGCCGAATCTAGAGCGCCAAACAAGCAAGCACGCCGCGAAGAAATATGCGAATATTTCACAACACAAGAAGGCATGTCGCATTGACCGACGCTGGCGCTGGCGCGAGAAAAAGTTAAAGGAAAGAACTCGGTGAATGTGCCGCTTGAAGATATTCTTCAGAGGAAATTTTTCAAATGTCCGCGAATTCGAGAGAATTTTTCCGGTTGGCGGTCAAGATCTCGCGAGAATTTCTTTTGTATCCGCACGACGGGGCATGTTTCTCTCTTCCGAATTGCAGAGAAAACACCTGACGCGCTTCGCCGCTAAATCGGCTGGATGTTTCGCCGACGAAGATTGGCGTCATGAAACGCCCGCGATTGAAGATGATTAACATATGCCTTAACCGCTGGATTAAAATCGCAGTAACGCCTGATTGTATTTTTATACGGTAACTCAATTAACAGTAGATTTACGGAACCCGTCAATTTGACGGGTTTTGACAAGCAAAAATGCAAAAACTATTACTATATTATTTCCTCCAATTTTTGCTGACTTTTATTAATGTTGAATATATATTCGTATCATTTCATTAACAATAGTCAGCAAAAATTGCTAGGAAATGATAGTAATGATTTCTGTAATTTTGCTCATGAATCTGGTCCCGTAAACCTAATCTTAAATGTTATAACTGATGTTAAATTGTAAAATAAAAAAAGACGAGAATAACGTAATTATATAACATGCAATTTTAATTAATTGACATGTATTTAAGAGGTGACACTCGTCAGCGTCCAGATTAGGCCCTAAATAAACTGGAAATTCCCAAAAAGCGCCCGGCACTTAAAGGCGTATTGGGCATACGCCGCATTCATCAAAAAATAGCGCATGCTGGGAATAATTAATTAGCTCCGACTATCCGCATTTAATTTATTCTCTCTCTCTCTCTCTTTCTCTCTCTTTCATGATTTCTAATACATCGCACTCGATATTTCCGTCCATTTGACGCGTGGTAAATTCGTTTGATATCGTTTGCAGTGTTCCAATAAAGGCCTCGTCCCCGATCATGCCAATTGGCCGATCGACAGTGCGTCTTTCTTTTTCTTTCACGTTTTCTGTCGCCAAAATCACCGAGTCACATAGTTTATCGCGATTTGTAACAAAGTATCCTTTCGTATTCAGAACTGTCGAGTCGTTTCGTATTAGCAAATCGACTTGTCGGCTTGACAAGTACCCTCCGGCCTGGCGAGGAAGAGCTTGCCACTTGCACAGACACACAGCTGATAGATGGTCGTCTCCCTCTGATGAGTGGATGAAGATCTACTGGAGTGCTGTTGCTGCTGCTGCTGTTGCTGTTCTCTGGACGAGTGTCCTTGCACTGGCATCGCTGTCTTCAAGCCCTTCATATAGACGGACTTGGCGTCGAGTCGAATGGCTCCATGAATGCTTTGCAGCTTCAAATCTGTTAGACAAGACGCCGAAATCTCGCTTGCCCAAGACTCGATTACAACTTGCTGAGGAGCACTGATTTTTAATGATCTCGTCGCTGATTCGAGCCTGCAACATAGTAAACAAAAATTGTTTCGTAAATACTAACGAAAAAATATTTATGAGAAATTGATTAATTTTAATTTAAAATATTTTTTATAATTTTCTCCGACTTAAATATAATATAATGCTTCACATTTTTGCTTAAATCAATATAAAATACACTTGCAGACAGATTTTTTTGATAGTTAAAATTTATAAAGAATTTATTAATATTAATATTAATTAATAATAGCATCCATTTTTAATTAATTAATTAATTAAAATATTTTAATTATAAGATCAATTGTTTGAAACTGAGAAAGATGTTTTTCCCAAGTGAAGGATGTTTTAAATAACTGCAATCAACAAAAATAATTTTTTATATATATACATGTATTTATTGCTGTATTTTAATCATGTACTCGATTTAAAATAATTACAATTCTTGATTTATTAAAATCAAACATGTAAAATTAACAACATGATAATTATGAAACGAGCGATAAGAGCCTAAAAACGCGGATGGTATTGCGTAAAATTTTTTTTTATGTAAAATTAATTTTCGAAATATATAATTATAAATGGAAAAAAATAATAATATATATTAATTTTCTGCGAAGGCTAACTAATTAATGGCGCCAATTTCATCCATGTATATTGTTGTATTATTTCTCAAAACGCGATCGCAAAGTATTAGAAGATACCGAACGTTATTTTCTATTTCTGAATAATTAATGATTATTAGAGTGCAATTAATTAATGTAACTATTTGTAATAAAATATGTATTTTAAAAAAACAATTATTTATTTATATACAACAGAAATTGGATTAATAGAGAATGAGAATTATATGTTATTATATATTATTATTTTATTACGATATTTAAAGTAATAATTATTTTTAATGCTTGTATTATAATGTATTTCGCATCGTATCCTGAATTTTACGACAATTTAAATATAACATAATTTGCTTGTCATTTTTAAATCGAGAACGTATAATAATATCAGCAGCCAAATTAAATAATTCAAATAATGAAAAGATATAATGTAATATCGATCGTTTATTAAAAAATACATGTATTTTAGGTAATATATACATTTAAAATGCATATAATGTTAAATTTAATTGTACATTTTCAGATGGATTTATTGAATTTCTTTTTTAATTATCTATTAATTTAATTTTATTAATCGATTGTCATTTGTCCATCATTTTCAAATTAAGAATGTAATGTATGAATCATCGAACTAAGTGATTTAAATAAGAAAAAGTTTCGAATTTATTTTATAATGTATTAAATATTTCGTAAGGACAACAAAATAATTCGACGCGTTCGTGCTTCATTATGTTATATTCCATTATTATCTTTTCTATTATATTATATTCGAGACAGAGAAGAGACGGTATACCTTTAATTGGGTGAGGTAAATTCATGAAATAAATTAATTATTGTTACTAATAATTAGAAAACTCTTTAGGAAATGCAAGATTATGATCAAAGCTATAGGAAAATTTAATAGAATAGACAGAAAACCGACTAGCGTTTTATATAAATACATTATATACGCGGCCATGCCTTTAAACGAGTAAAGTAAATTCATTAGAAAATTAATTACTGTTGCTGATAATTAAAACTTTTTAGAACAATAATTATATTATAGGAGAATTATAATAGTATAGAGATAGAAAACTTAAAAATGTCTCACATAGATACATAAAAACTTTATAGCTTTACATACTCTATTTTGTTTATATATATAAAATAGCCTTCGCGCAAATCCTGAGAAAAAATATATAGACGCATTAGTTTTCGAGATCGGGAGAGATACTGAATACGTTATCATTCTTTACATTTATTTAATAATACACAATTATTTAAATGATTATTAATTACACGTTTTCTTCTGGAATTTTTCAATCAACAGGACAGCACTAGAATATTATATATAGATAGTATACAGAACAAAATGTGTGTGTGTGATTCCGCGAATTAAATAACAACACGCATTTTACATACACTATTTATAATTATACATTAAATTAAAATAATACAAATATTAAATTTAAATAATACAATAATTAATAGCTATTTAATAATAATAATAAATATACGCGTAAAGTTCAAAAATTAATCTTTATATTTATTATAAATTATTATACTGTGTATTCGTGCAATAGCATGAATTCGTATTTTTCTCGTGAAATTAATTCAGTCGAATATCAAAATAGTTATTTTCAATTATATGTCTCAATGAATAGAAATCATTATATGATATAAATGACATGAAATCTATATATTCATGAAATCAATACGTCATTATAAATTGTCATGCCTGTGGATATATGCAAATATATTCCATTGTGTTATGAACTTTGAACTAATTTAAATATAATTTGTGCATTGTTAAGAGAATGTGCGTAGTAATACATAAAGCGGCGGATTAATTTCAATAAGAAAAATCCGTATTAATCTACTTTATAACGTATTAAATATTTCGTGGGAACGACATAATATTTAACGCGTTTATATTTGAGACGTGTAGCGCGCTTTGTTTACGTACTACAGCGGCCTTCACGCGGCTAGCCTCGAGGCGAAGACGCTGCGAGACACGTCATTATCCGTCGCGACGCGGCCGCGAGAAGTACACAAGGGTAACTACGCTATTATTCTCTACATTTATCTAGTAATATATAATCATCTAAACGATTATTAATTTATAACATTTGCTCGTCGCTATTAAAAGACACGCGAGTACGAAACGAATCGATTCCAGGCCAGGTAACACGACATGTTTACACAACTAAGAATATTTATCAATTACGCACAATGTAAATTTATCGATGATTTATATCAGTGACTTGTTAAGATCCATGTAAATCGAAATCTATGCAAGTAGTCGGTAAAACAATACTCTCATATTTTCGAAAATATTATTACATGAATTTATCGTTAATCTTAATTCGTGTAGTTATTCCAATTACTAGGTTAGGTTAGGTAATATATATGTGAGATACTAATCAGTCTCTGAAACGCGAGTGTATTCTATCTATTATTTATGCGAGGAAATGCGTAAACATTGTAAATCGAGTGGTATCGTCGCGACGAATGATACTTGTGTCAAGTTACCTGATCTTATCACCGATTCGTTACGTCATTCGGAGTTCGTTCATTATGTTCGTTGCAGTCAAAAAACCGCGAGTGTGTCCAGCGGATTCTCGTTTCGTACGAGTATTTCTTTCGTGTTATTTTTCCGTCACAATGTGATAAAGTGTGTGTTGTGCGTAATTAATATCGCGGATACCGTGCGATCGTAGTATTTTGATTAGAACGCTCGATCATATGAACTGTGTTTTCGCGAGTGAGTGTGCCATGAAGGAGTGCTGACAGTACAAGAGGGACGAGGAGACCGGAGAGATGACGGTGGAGCAACGAAAACGACGATCGAGTGAGTAATTTATTATCTTTTTATTTATTCCTTATCTGTTATTTGTGAAATTAATTATTTACTTCTGCGAAGAATATATAAAATATTCCGCATGCAACGCATATAAAATATATTTATTTATGATAAAATATTTAAAATATATATACTTATTTATTTATTAAATATATTTATTCATAAGATACTTGAAAAATACCGCGCCTATATAAAATATTTAAGAAAAGTAAAAATTATATAAAATATTTATATTATTTATTTATTATCAAATATATTGGAAATGTGTAATCATTTTAATTATATTTTAATTATATTCAAAATTTAATTTTTTTAAATTTTACAAAATATATATTAAAAAAATTTTATAAAATTTAAAAATATACATGTATTTTATAAATTTTATATCTAAAAAAATGTTTTAAAATAACATTTAAAAAATTTTTCTATATAATTATTTTTCTATATAATTATTTTTTATATGCGTACACTAATTTTTGAGTAAAATAAGTATGTTATAATTTAAATATTTTGTATTTCACAAATTAACATTCGTTACGACTCTGCTATGCATCGTTTCAATGAATAAAATTATATCTTATTTGAATCTGTGAAAGAATATTATAAATAAATATCTCAAGGATTTTACGTTAAAAGCTAAAATAATGAAAATATTTAACTTTGAAAAATGTATAACCATTTTTCTCGAATTTAATGCATGTATAGTAATGCAAATATAAATATAAAGCTCACAAAATTGAATTTGTTGTCGATGCAAGATTTGTCATTTTCTGACATATTTTGGTGGCAGGTTTTATTACATGTATACTAGAATATATTAATTGCAAGAGATACACAAATCACATATTGAAATTTATAGACAATTTAAACTGGCAAACACATAAATATAGAAAAAATTGAAAGTATTTCACGCAACTAGGGAATATACTCTAATACGTGATAAATTGAAAATAATAAAATATTTTTTTTTTATAAAATATAAAAACTATCTCCAAATGTGGTAAGAATATTATAATCTGTTATATTTCTATTATATTTCTTGTCAAATACTTATACATACATACATTATTATGAATAAAAATATCAGTAAGCACAGCATACAAATATTATAAAGAAATATTAATAATTTTATTTCGAGTGTCAAAAACAATTTAGATTTTGAATTTAAAGTTTAAATTAATTTAAGTTAATTGAGAATTTTAAATATTGAATTAATTTCTTGAAAAAATAATAATAAGAAAAAAAATTAAAAATAAAATAAAATTAACATCTAAATACTAAAACTATAGAGTTATAAAATTATATAATATTTTTTAAGTACATATATAGCTTCTATTTAAATTTCTTTATAATATTTATAATTAATAGTTACCCGGAAAGATAAATATTATATTGTGAGATATAAAAATTATTTAATACATATAGAATAAAAATTGTAAATAATTAAATATATTTTTTTATCTTTTGTGTTTTCCTTTTTAAATATTCTTTAAATAGAATTTGATATTTATATGTACATTTTTTATTTCTCTATATACATTTATTTCAAAGTTAAATATTATATAAATTAATACGCAACAGAGAGAAAGTCAAATATTTAAATTTTATAATCAGATATTTTCTGAATTTTCTATTTCAGAATACATATACATGTATAACGAATAAAAAAAAGAACAAAAGATATTTCACAATCACATAATACATAATTTAATTAAGTTTTTCAATTAAAAATGTAAAAAATTAATTAGTAATTGTTTTAATTCATGTAGTGTAATCCAACTTTTCAGATCTTATTTATTCATGTTATTGATAATTTGACTTTGTCATTTAGAACAAAGTAAAATAACATGAGATAATTATTTTGTTGTGAGATAAAAATTTTTTTTATATCGATTATTTTTACTTTTAAAATTAATTACAATTTTTACATTTGTCAATTATATTACAATCTTTTGCTGATTCTGATTAAGTATAATGTACTAAATTTTATAGGAGAAGTAACTGGCTCAAAAAAATTTCTTTGAGTTTAATTATTGCACATTTGTCTATTGATTTAAAATTTGATATTTTTGTTACTATTTACTGCGTCCATTTTTTATATCAAACAATATCAAGCATAATTGGTTGGTACAAATTAATGTTGGCTGATTTTAATTCATAAAAAATTAATGTTATTCTTAATCTAAGTCAGAAATTCCAAAATTTACTTTATAATATAAAAATGTTTATTTGTAAAATCTTTATATTATGACGTTTGTTAAATAACATTTTACATCATATATGCTACATTGAATAAATTATAGCTTATTTTTTATTATCTTTCTATCGTAAATTTATCGTTTATTTTTTTAAATATATATGATAAATATTTTAATCGATATTTATATAATATTTACAGTTTTATAATATTAACATTAAAGTGATGCAATATGTAGGAAAATAAAAATATTGATTGTATAAATTAAACGACAAATGTGACAATAATACTCAATTCTTATGCAAAGTTTACGTAAACTTTTTATATTCATATTATAAGTACTCGATAAATAATTTAAAGCTTTTACTTAACTTTGTGATATATAAAATGTAAGTAATATAATTATTATTCGATGAGTCGCAACGAATTCGCATATTTCAATTTCAATATATTACGTTCCAATAATGATACGGATTACACCGTAAATCTGTGTGCTCGTAAACTGTCGTATTATATCCGAGTATTCCGGCAACATAGTAATACCTGTATTGACTCCCGCAACCCAAACTCAAACTCGCGCAATAATCGATTCTTTTCCATGAAGGAGAAAGAGACGGTCCACGATCATCCGTCTTTCCTCTCGTTCTTCACGAAGCTGCTCTTTTACCGCTCCACTCCGCCACCTTATTCTCCCGCCCCTAACTCCTTCGTCCCCCTCCTGCCCCATCTACCTCTTCGGGAACTCGTAGGATCCGCGGTATTTCATATCTGGCGCAAATCCAATCCTATGAATATAATTTTCCACGCGAGCAAAGTTTTATTGTAATCGTAAATCCGTCTGTAAATTGGCTGGCGCTATCAATAACCGATGTGGCGGTACAACTCCGTCCTGTTCCCCCTTACCCCTTTTTGCCATTTTCCTATCCCCTTCGATGCTACCATTCGTAGACCTCGATTTCTCGCTGTAATACACTGAGGTGCTCGGTGAGAGATAAAAACCAAGATGAGCGAAAGAGAAAAGAGTTTGAAGGTTCTATGAGCTTTCTCGGGCCGAAGATGCGATAATCGGAGCTGGATGGAAAGGAATCGCCGTTTTCGACGAGAAAGCGACTTCTTTGCAAAGAAACGAAACTCTGTTATAAAACGCGTTATTATTCAGTCGGGTGAAAATGATCGATTGATCGCGCTTGTTCGGCGTTTTATCGTTTATTATTAATTTGTACGTTGAGGCGCTATTTTCTAAATATACGCGCCCTATTCTCGAGCCATAAAATGTTTCATTTCTCACGAGATTTGCCAGGAAAAGCCGATAGTTGCGATATTACTATTTTTTGCAACTGTTTGATTTAAACAATGCGTAAAAATTTAAATCTGATAAAGCAAATATATTTGATTAATCTGATTGCAATTTAATAATTATTATTTGTTAGAATATAATTATGTATACGAGCAAATATTGGGATATTACATCCCAATGCAATTGTTTATGTAAATAGTTGCAAATAATCGCATAACGTGTAAAGGCAATATATAAAAATTTCCTATTTATAGATGACACTAATAATAAATAATTCTCGATGATATGCGCAGAGAATTTCTTACGGATTTTTATCGGATTAAACAATTAAATTTTGCAATGTACGTCATATTTATAATATAATTACCTAATTGCAATGTATGACATATTTATAATATAATTACCTAAGACCGCGCCCCGATTCTCCTCTGACCAACGGAGTCTGTACGCTTCCCTGAAAAACGGCACCACCTTCACCGGTTACTCTTAACATTTCCGCTCCCACGATAACCTGTTCTCTGTCCGCGGAAAAGAGCACCCCTCCTCGAGGATCGGTTATTCGAAAACCTCTGGAAACGCAATCGACACGATCCTCGCCTAGAAAGAGAAGAACAACGTGTTTTATGCTTAAATTATTTTTTCAAATGCAATTACATATACACAACAAATTATTTATATTGTTATATTATATATACAATTTAATTTATAATATATATATTAACCCATTTTAAATTATTTTTCAAAAATATATCTCATATTTTATTTATATATTTATATTTATATATATAAATAAAATATATAATTTGTGTGTATATATGTATATGCATCTTTTTTAATAATACAATTTTAATAAATTAGGCTACTTAGGCAATTTTATTTTTATTTAAAAGATTGTGATTATTTCTTAATATCGGGTGAAAAATGTAGACTGTTATACGTGGCCATTTTTATAACTTACCAACTGTTAATCGCGCGAGAAGCCGACCATCGTGAGATCTTGCTGAGGCCGTAAAATTACTCCATGATTCCAACACCAAGTTTTTGCCCCTCCGAGATCTCAGGTTGGAGGCCACAAGGGCGTCTAATACGGCAGCTTGACCTCTTAGTTCGATTCCCCCAGGCACCACTTTTAGCGAGCCGATACCTTCCTGAAAGAAAAGGAAATGACTGTCAAAACAGAGGGATAAAGGGAAGAGGGCAAACTGTCAAAACTTTCTAGGCCGCGGCTATAATACTTCGATAAAAATAGAGCAGAGCCTAGTCACGATTTATTACCTCCCTGTATATTTTATTTTTCAAATCGATGTATCTCAGGCTTTCTATTCTCTATAAATCCTATTTCTACCACCGGTGAAATATAATATTTTATTTTTAACAATCTTTCGTTTGATTAATTATTAAGATATATTTTTAAAAGATTGGCATTAAATTTGCGGAAATTGCCATCAAAATTAAGATTGGAAAAGCAGCATGGCAACCGCGATAGTCGAAGATCCTTCCCGCGCGCCAGCAAAGCCAGAATTTATTAAAGTCGGACCGCACATCGGAAAGCGTCATAATATCGGTATCCACCTTCGAGATCGAGTGTGCGCGCCCCGTCGCACTCATATCGTAAAATAAAATAATATACTCCATTACTGTGTCGAGTTTCCACGTGACGGTATTAAGTATCGGTGGCACTCGCCATTATTGTCACTTCAGACGTCTGAATTATAAATGCAGCGATGAGCTGCATGCAGGTTACATGCAGTGATCCATTGTACCCGTTGGCTTGAAATATCTCTCGTAATATTCGAAACAGTGGCGTAGGCAGAATTTTATTTGAACTCGTGGTATCTTTCTTTCTTCTTCTTTCTCTTTCGCCGCCGAGATGTATCGAGCGAAGAGGGGTAGATGGCCGTCCAGGGGTGGTCGGGACGAAAGGAGAAACACACCATAAAGTAGACACATTGCGCGTTTGCATTCATCTCGTAAACTTCGGATAGTCTCCCACCTGGGACTTATCCCGAGCGGAAAGTGCAATTTGGCGTTTATGAAACGGTCTTACCGCGCATAATTGCGATCGAACTTTGCCTTCCCGGCTGCGTTAAGAGGTATATGTCTGGTTGAAAGAGTGAAAGTAGCCGTATTTCACTTTAAAATGATCGTAGCTTTTGCAAAGTAATCGAGAGAAACGTGTTATGTTCAGACATATATTTATAGAGGAGGATTCTCGGGGAAAGTTGAGAAAATTATCAGTCGGGATTAAACCACCGAATTAAACCGTAGCAGTTGAAAGCTAAAATTATATAGATTTTATTCGCGCGCATCAATATAGCGAACACGAATTGTTCTATAATCTTTTGCACTTAGATGAGCATAGTTCGATGCAGACAATTACATTTCTCGTATTAACGTGAATATAACGTATTTTAATATTGCTTCGAAAATATGCATGTATTTTTTACGAAAAAATTGCACATGAAACGTTAAGGATAGTTCGAAATAAACAGATCACTTGACAAATTTTTCGCATCTCGTCTTCTCTCTACGTCTTCTTTAAAATACCACTTCGCGGTAAAATAACTCGTCTTTCTCGTGCCTATCCACATTGGTTTCCGATGATTGGCTCGATCGAAAGCAATTGCCACGCTCTGTCCACTTATTATTACAGCTGTGGAAAAAGAAGGTCGCTGGGATACACGTTGTCCGAACTGGTTGAACTTCCGATCAAGTAGCCTCCAATTCAGTGGGTTTTTTTTTAGACCGAATATCGTGCCAAATATTTGCATACAGCGCGGCAATTTGATACGTCAATTCCGGGTAAAGCGATAAGGATAATTTTCCTATCAAAATGTGAAAAGCCAAATGTAAAAAACAAATTTTAATATATCTTTAACACAGCCGTATCCAATTGGAATTTGATTCAGATTTAGATATATAAATTTTAGGAAAAGTTCTAAATCAGATTTATTTCATATTTATATCTACATTTATTTCGAACAACATTTATTTCGACATAAATTCCATGTCTTTAGAGACTCAAATTTTTAGAGAAATATTTTTAAGATAAATAAAAGCGATTTTTTCACTAAAAGCGTAAGAAAACTTTTTATTCGTAACTTTTGTTGATTTAGAATTGCATTATAAATATTGACTTTTTAAATCTTTTAATACCAGAGTATTTAATGATTAAATAAATTTGTTTTTGATAAATATTTAGTCGAGAAAGCTTTTATGGGAAAATATATATGTATATATTTTGTACGCGATGAATATAACATCTCTAAGAAAATTAAATTATTATTCTACATAGATAATTACCAATGAGCAAGCAAACGAATATTACAAAGATTATTTTTATCGGTTATTATTACTTCGCTAATATTTTTATTAGCAGTTTTTTCGCGTCTTTAATTGATACAATTGTATAATTTGCTATTGCGCCGTCACAAGTGTGGACTTTTCGAAGGAAATAACTAGATTTGGTTAAACACTGGCTGCAAGATGACAGTTTAAACATAGAATTTGCCAAACATCAATCTGGATGTGCATAGTTGCGATCATCAATGAGAGGAAGGAAGTGGAAGGAAGAGGAGATACCGAGCCACCGACACTCGATTAGCCAAATCGTTCGGAAAACGATACGATCTCTTTGCCCTCTACTTAACCGTAATCGTAAACCCCAATAGCACCCGCGGAGAGCGAGCGAGCTTGTGAGGGAGAAACAGAGGAAGACGCGATCGTGCCGGTAGAATGAGATCGAGAAGAAATGTTGCGAGAAAAAAAGAAAGAGAGACGAAGTACGTTATAAGAAGGAAAAAGTGCAAGCGTGGGAGCGTAAGCGGCAAAACGAGAGAAGAATGAGGAAAATAGAGAGAAAGAAAGAACTATAGCTGCACCTGCTTTTTAGAATCGCCAGACGGTCTAGAGGAACCTTTGGAGTCGAGAAGATCGTCCAATCGTAGTGGTGGAAACGAGCGGCAGTAGTAAAAGTAATCTACCGTCAGACAGGTATCATTAAGTCCGAGGCTTTATACCCTTTTTATCTCGTTGTCTGTCGACCGTTGATAAGGGGATTTAAGCGACAATAAAAAATATCGACCCTTAGCCCTCTCGCAGCGCGAACGAGTGCGTGCCTTTCTCCACCTCTTATCTCGATTTCGCGCGGTTTTTTTCGAGGATAGAAAAAGAGAAGGTAATAAATAGAACAGAAAGGAAAATGCGCGCAATTAGCCGGCTAAATTTCAATCGCTGCGTCGAATCGACCACATGCAAATCGTATTTCCTTCGTATCGACGTGATTGGCTGCCGTCACGACCATCAAGTATTTATCGTTGAAAAATTGCGGATTTATGTTCGACGACGGAAATTGCGCGGTGCGGCCGATTAACAGATTTCCGGCCGCGCTAAAATCAATTCGCGTGACGATGTCAATGAATTTATATGCACTTTTCTGCCGCAAAATAACGCATCGTTTCCATATCTCGCGCACTTCGTTTCGAATTCCGAATTCCGAATTTCAAATATCGAGACACGTGATTCGCGCGACAAGGGTGTTGGTAGGATAGCGGTGGCGCCGGTTGCGGCACGTAATGAAATCCAAATAACACCCCTCGTAAGCGTATATCATCGTAACGACGCCTCGGCTCGACATTACTCGGTTGGTCGTCCATAAATTAATACAAAGCACGTTATTTACAAGGATTACAAAGGCTTTCTGTTTTAGCGCCACGCCTGCTTTAATCGTGGTCAATTTTTTCGTCGCTTTCTTATCGAGATAAACTTCGCTTGAAATGATCTATTAGAAAAAATACAGATATATTCTTTCATATTATGACGTTAATATATTCTATTTTTAACTTGAAAAATTAACCGACATATTACGATGACATTAACTGACATATTACGACGACAATAAAATGCTCGATTTTTATTAAAATTCTCTTCATCGATTAAATAATTATATAAAATTGCATAAGATTTTCAAAAATGAAAATGGATATCTAAGCAAAAAATTGCTTATAAAATGTATAGTTTGACATTTCGATTTAAAAAATTTAAAGAATCTTCAACTTTATAATGATTTGAAACAGTTAGTGACAATCTAATCAGAAAATAAACATATTGCATTATAATGTTATATAATTAAATTTTTAATATCAAATATTTTAAATATATATATATATATATATATATATATATATATATATTAATTAAATATTCGTGACATAAAAGTTGTTCTTGATATAAAGTAGCTGGTAATTCTCCGAGAATTTTGAATTATGCCCTCGATATTATTTAACTTCCGCTAAAAAGCAGCAGCGAAAACCCAAGAATATATTTCCTAAATTGCTTTAACATAAATTTACATCCGTATGAAATTCACGCTAGGACGTAGTCAGATTTCAATTGCAATGAATTTCGTTCGCGCAGATGAATAGAAGTGGGCGCGTTCTGAACGCGCGCCACGCCATTTTCGCGAGCCGATTCGCGTGCACATCTCATTCCGCGGAAGTCGGAAATTACATCCGCATCCAGGAAATAATATGCTTGTTTCCGCCAAAAAATGTAGCTTCCAAAATCTATTGTTTCCCCTTTTCTTTTAATTAAAGTTTCATATTGATTCAATTCCAACGATTAAAGTGAAGATTTATAATTCTCTCGCACACGGTCATAATTTTTATTTTAATTGTATCTCATGCGATATTGTTGGAAGAAAATCATTATTAAAAAATGATAACCGTTAAATTTTTCATACGCGAGCATGAACGTGGCATTCGCAGTTTGTATGACTGTGCATCGTTGAACTCGGTTACGTACCTTCCATGACAAGATAGTCATACGTTTCGCGTTTCTGACGCATATGTATGTATGTCGCGATGATTACACATATGCACATGGCGCTACTACGTGCGACCACGCTAATGCACCTCACGTAATTATCCCAAGCTGGACGACGACGTTAGCAGTCTCGTCTAACTTCCGCGCTGCGTCGCGAGATAATTCGATTCGGAATTTTGTCACCGCCTTTTCCTCGGGGGATCCTCGGCAACGATGAACCCCTTCGCTAGTCATAACCGAATTCAAGGTCCATCCTCGGCCGTCGCTCATCATCCTCTCCGCATCACGATATTGCAATTTCGTGTTACGCGGGGATCAAATCGCG